AGATCACCATCTTTTAAGTAATTGATTATTGAAATAGAAATTTAGCTCAATTACCCCAATATCTTTTTTTGAATCAAATAAATCATTATAGATTAGATGAGTTACTTTAAAATATTTCAATTATACTAATAATTTCTTAAATTGAAGCACTCCAAATTAGATTTCATTTATTAATCAAAACTAATGTATAGTTTATCAAAATATTTTGTATTTTCTTTAAATTACTTTTTATTGTTATCTTACTTAATTAGTTTTCAATTAAACATTCTAATGAATTTAAAACAATAATTAATAACATATAATTTATGTAATGTGTAATACATTAAATTCAAATGAAGATAGACTATTTTCTGATGATAATGATAATTCATAATCTAGTAAGAAAGGGTATTTAATAAAAATCTATTGGAATGAATGTAATCATAAGATAAACCTTGATAATTATGTTATTGCATTAAATTTAAATTAGTCAGAAACTTAATTAGTGCATAAAAAAAGGATTAGATTACAATTTTGGAAAAAAGAAAATAAGATAAAACAGCTTAAAAAAATTTGTTAAAAAGTCAAAATAATTATAAATATATATTCCATCAAATCTAAAATTTTAATTGTTAAGAGTAGCCTTTTACTATAATAATCGTTCACATAAAAGCATAAATTAAGCATGTAACAATTTTCTTACTTATTATCTATAATTTCAAACCAAAATTTAATTTTTTTTCTAAATTAACTATTATAGAGGTATAAATATATTGATTACAAATATCAAAGCATCTTTTGAGAATATAATAAGAGATTGTAAAAAAAAATATATAGGTAAACTATCTTTTTATATAGGATTTGATGAGACTAAAGTAAAAAAATTATGTAAATAACAATAATAAAAGAATATAAAAATTGTTTTTAAGTTAATTTTCATAATAATGCTCTAAGCAAGTTGATTGTTTAAATAATATAATTTCCAGAAGGATGGTTTAACATCAAAGCTATTTAATAAGTTTTAATGGCTTAAGAGTATTGGTCCAATTTTTGTAAAGAATTTGCTAAAATATAGTTAACATAAAACCTTTGTTAAAATAAGCATTAACATAATTTGGAGCAAGTGAAATCGCTTTATCAAAGCAGGTTATTGCTTGTTGATATTATTTTAAATTCTATAAAGCAACGCCTAAAATTCTAATATGGAGATAAAATCTTTTCCATTATAGGCATTTAAAAAAAAATGGATCTAATTGGATTGCTTTATTATAGTCATTTAATGCATTTTCTACCTCATCACAAACAGAATATAAATTTCCTTGTATATTTTGTATATTAGATTTAACCTCTGTTATAAAAAGCCAAACAATATTTAGGATTGATTTCAATAGCTGAATTGAAATCACTTAGCGCATAATCAACCTTTTGTTCATCCATATAATAAAGCCCTAATAATATAAATTTTATGTTACCTCTACAAAAAAATGCTTAATAACAATTTCCATCCTTTTCTATAGCTTAATTGTAATATTTGAGTTCATTATTCTTTTATTTCAAATCTTTCATAATAGTGCCTAAAAACTTATTATAATTTTATTACCCATTCTGCAATAGCCCATCGAAAAATCTTTATTAATCTCAACACATTTCATACAATCTTCTAATGCTTGGTCAAATAATTATTTTCTCCAATAAATTGTTGCTTAAATTATAAGATTGAGTTTATACCTCTTTAATAATAACTTTCAGCATCATTATTTTTTAAAGATATGCTAAAATTCACATCTTCCAATGCTTTTTCATATAAATTCATTTTTTCATATAATTCACCTATATTTATATTTAAAACATTGAACTTCTTAAAGTGTAGGCTTCTGCAAATTTAGGATTAAGATTCAAAGCATTATTAATTTCAAATAATGCTTCTTCAGTTCTAAAAGCAATTAAAAATTTCTAAAAGATTCTAATCGAATAATTGTATCTAGCTTTTTGAATAATGCTCAATAGCCTCAAAGTTATCGTATTACTTTTAACTCTTGTTGCTCATTTTTTGAGATGTATCCAAATTTTTTTTATAAAAAATAATTAAAATTTAGAAAAATTCACTATCTGTTAATTATTAATTTTTGGATATAAAAAATTTACATTTCAATTTTATAAATTAGAAAAGCCTTTTATTTTAAATAATACAATATAATAAGGATTATTTAATTCAATTCTTCAAGGCTTGATTATTTTATATTTAAAATAAATCTTATAATTGAAGTAATATAAAATAAATGAACAACTAATCTTCTGCAAAACATTTTCGGAGACACTTTGAATCCTCAACTCAAGAATTAATTTATTAATATAATTTCTTCAGAGCCAAATCATCAACTCTATAGAGAATGATATTCATTAATTTACTCTTCTAATTATATTTTATGTGAATACGTATAAATATCTGAATAATATTGGATTTAATTGCAATATATGACAAAGATATTTAAAACTAATTTTGAATCAGAATCATTATTTATAATTTTTCCAGATTATAGGAATTTAAGGACTCTAAACATTGATTTTATAGCTCAGAAAAAATATGATATATTTCAACATTTCTAATTGTGATTAATTTTTTCTTCATTATTCTTTGTTCTTTTAATTTTAAATACTAATTTACAATTGTATGATGACTGTATTTTAATTTAAAAAATCTTCGAGACAAATTAGAGTACATAACATATCTTCATTCATAAAGGAAAAGCCTATAGTTTTTTAGGACTAATTATTCTTTAATAAGTGATTTCTACTAAATAACTTTCATATCCTTTTGTACAAATCTCTAGATTTGTACAAAATTTGCATCTCATTGGATATATAATTGTAAGTTGTGTTAGTTGGTCTTCCATATTTACTTAATAAATTCTGTTTTTATATATAGCTATTTATCTATTTAATTTCTAATATTTCTACAAGAAATCTCCTTGACTTATTCTTATTCTCTATTATGATATTAATTTTTTGAATTCTTAATATTACATTCTATTTTATAGATGCTGTTTTTAGAATTGATAATGAATAGATCAAAAATTTGGAATTTACTTTAATTATATCTTCGTAAATTGTTTTAGTTTACGAATTATAGGTTTTTTTGTGACCTATTTTCAATCAATTAGAGTATCCTGATTGATTGCAACCTAAATATTCTTTCGCTTAACATTTGATTCTTAAAAACTAATTAATTCTTAATTTTTGCATCCTAATATTCTCATAGGAATACTAATAATTACTTCATCTAATAAATAAAACACAAATAGGATATTTTATGATCTCATTTAATTCTTCTTAAGCTTTAACTCTCCAAACTTAAATTAGAAAGTTGACAATTATTATATTTAGTATTTGAATTTTCTATTACTAATATAAGTAAATCCTTTATGCTTATATTTTCTCTCTGAAACTCTATTCTCTGTACACTCTTTTCTTAACAGAATGAAATAATTAAAAAGCATTTAAAAACAAAAATTTTCAAATTTTAACTTGTTTGCATAATAGGCATTAATAATATGCAGAATTATTCAATCAGATAAAAATTTTATGCTTCTTGAAATATTTCAGTGACATTATATTTATAGATTAATAGAATATAGATATTAAAAAATTATAAATCTTTTCTATTTATTATGATTGTAGATAAATTCTTTTATATTTTAATAATTTCTCACATATTATTTCATAAATGATGTATTAAATTCATATTTACAAATAATCAGAAAATCAATCATTAACTTAATTAATATAAAAATTGTAAAATCATTTTACTATTCTCAAACTGTTGTATTTAACTTTAATCCGACGCTTTTAACATACAAAAGCTTAAATATTTCAGTATATATTTATATCTATGATTTTAAACCAATGATATTTAATAATGAAAACAATGATCATAATAACTTAATATATGAAGATTCTGAGCTTTAAATAGAGAGGAATTCAGAAATTCAAATCATATAAGAATTGTGCAACAATTAAGGAAAATTAAATATAGAAAATACTGAAATATATTTTCTTCACAAACTTTATGATATTTAAGATTAGAATATGGAAAATGTTGTCTACATATTATATAAGAAATGTAATGGATTGTATAATTATAATAATTATTTAAATTAGAAGGAACAGATAAAACTTTATATGTTATATTCATAATTGGTTGTTTTTGCAAAAATAGAAAGAATAATAAAAATTAGGTAG